GAAGTCCCCACGATTTGGTAAATCTACCTTGGCCTGTACGTTCATACGTATATTCAATAAAAGGAACCCATTTGTCACTGCCTTTTGCAATTCCACCTTGTCCTTCAAGTTTGCCTTCTCGTATTTGAAGGTAGATCATTTTGCCTTTCTGAACTATTCTGATTCCTGTGACCACCCTGAAAACAATTACTTCAAGAATTAATAAGGATGTATTTTACATCTATTAACGGAAACACTAACATGCCCCAATGGAAATTAGAGTGTGCAGCCATGAAACTGAGAGCTCTTTTTGCGTGACTAAAGGGTCTATCACCGTCACAGGTGCATACGCAATAGTCACATGAGTAGAATCCACGATTCCATGATTTTGGATAATTGAGTTGTCCTGGGCAGCCAGCGCTATTATCTCCCGCAACATCCCCATTTCCCTCTTTGAACCAATGATATCGTCTTGAGTTGCTTGAATTTCTCTGTGAATAAGACGTGAAATTAAACATTCCATTATTTTATTATAATATAAATCGATGATGTTTGCACTTACCGTATCACAAATTGTCATCTTGCCTCCACCCTTTCTGCAACCAGTGATACTACCAAAACAAGGCCTGTCATAGTTGTAGTTGAGATAACTATCCATTTTTCTTTGATAAGTCTGAGTACCTATCGTTGCGCAGGTAGATTTACACGAACTCGTAGGACTCATATCAGCTTCGTTGATAACATACGTCTGAAAAACTTCGTCGAACTCTACGTAACTTATTCCTGAAAGAACGAAAAATAGGGATATATACTGCGTATTGTGATGATAAGGGAAATTACCTTTTCTGAATCCACCCTTCGGATCACAGCGACGGATAGAATTCGATGCTAGCCTCATTGCTTCTTTCGTGGCCAATAAAAAGTCGCGTGTCCTCATTGTGAATCCTGCCTCTATTTGACTTACTTCTGCAGAGTATGTTCCTGTATAGTCACAAATAGTTAATGACAAGTTAACTACCGATGGATTTCTTGAACATCTAAACCGTACCTTTATCAAAAATTGGCCGTAAGCCATATGCCCACGCAGCCATAATAAATCCACGTAATTCCGTAAGGGCAACAGTGTAATAGATTTGATAAATTACCTGTTCATGTGAATTGCCTTCATCACAGGACAACATCTCATTCTCCTGTGAATATTTCTCAACAATCAATTTATTGCTCTATCAAGCGAGAAGAAGGTGAATAAAGATTCAACTTGCCCGTTCGTTCTTCAACATTGTAAGGAACAAACTATCTCGAATATGGGCGGTCCTTAGCGGAACAATCAACCGATGCATTTGGCTAAGCAAAGCCTGTAAACCGAGCGCCTGATCTCCAGTCGCTGTGTCTATGAAGCCTTTTAATGTTATATTGTTGAAACTCTTACGATTTTTCGAATACTTGAGGTACTTGTCCCACATGTGATCAACGCCTACGATGATCTTGTGCAGCTCCATGAAAGTCGTATCAAGTTTTTGAATAAGTGTAATTCTGGAGACGAGACTTTCCACTATGGCATCCAATCTCTGATCCAAACGGGATTCGAACCCGTCGATCTTAGTCGATATTTCAGCCACCTGCTCTAATATTTTATCTATCCTCTCGTCAGTGTCGTCCATAAATTTTGAGTATGCATCATAACCTGCCTTAATCTTACTTCCTACTTGGTAGCCAAATTTTGCGAGCTTCCACAAATCACTTAGACTCGGCATCATAAATGGTGCCACTTGGACCAGTGGCACCAATATAATCAACCGAAATAGTAACATTTCGTTCAATTCTTATTTGCAAGCTTAAACGATGATTGGACACTATCCTGCATTTGGTAATGGGGTTTATATAGACCCTAGACGCGATAAGGGGACCAAGACATAAAATCAAAAATTTACATCTTATTTTTCACACGTATGTTATCGGTCATCATCAATTCTATTAACTGTTTGCGTGGGACAGAGTACATAAAAATTGAAATGTCATTGTCGTTATTTGACTGTAAGATATTGTACCACCTGTAACTAACTATATCTACTTATCTATATATTAGGAGGTGAAAAAATGAATTTTTATGCATTATTCTCATGAAAAATAGTGGTGTAAGAAGCTTTATCTTACATATCAATTAATTAAATGTTACTCGTCATAAATAAGTGGAGTAACGATTTTTTTGGAAATTATCACCATTTTGTTACTACTTGAGACTTTTTATCACGGAAATGATCACCGTTGACAATGATTTTTGTCTAGAGACTTTTTCTTCATAGAGCCGGATTCTATCAACTGGTTGCGTTATATTAAATTTTTCAATAAAAGTAATACTGGCGACGAGACTATCTAATGTATGATACGATGTAGGATAAAATTTGATCGATATTTCAGTCACCTGCTATAATATTTTGCTGGTAATCGGTGTGTATCATCCGTCAATGACTACTTTGATAGCGGAATTTCGCGGAGTCCCCACATGAGTCAGACCCGGCCTTATAAATAATACTAGATGCTCGACTAACACGATTATTATGAGTAATTGTAATAATACCATCCCGCACGATTTTAACTTCCAACGCCCAATGTCCATTGAACAATATTTCACACTGCGTAATTCGTTTTTAAATAAAGTCTGAGTGCGATAAGAAGACCATGACACAATATCAGAAATTCACACCCTTGGTTTCTACCTTCATTTTTCCTTATGTTATCAATCCGGCCAATTATTTATGGTTGACAGAGATCATAAAAATAGACGGACTATCATCACTATATGACTGCAAAACCTTTCCGCCTGAAACTAAATATTGCTATTTATAGAGTTTTATGCGCAAATTCCGATGTTTCGATGTTGGGCGACGAATATTTCAATTTGCATGTTTTGCTTATTGGAATCGTGCCTGTAAAGTAATAAATATTGCGTTTTCCTCTCAACCAAATTCATATACGATCATCTTTTCTTCTGAGAGTCTGTCTTTTATCTCGAATCATAAAAACATTTAAATATTTTATTAATTTCTTTAAAACATATTGTCATTTAACAATATGTATGTTTCATATATATATTGTTATGAGTGTTCAGTAAACGGAAATTACTCAATTAACATTATGGATGGAAAAAATACTTGAAT